GGGGGGGTGAAGTCAAACAATACAGGCATGTGATCAGAAAAAACATTGTCACCGATTTTCAAATTAGAAACAGAGACATCGCGTGTTAAAACGAGGTCCAGCGTGTGACCATGTTCCTGGGTGGGACCGCTCACCTGCTGAGCTAAGCCAAAAGAGTCCAATAAATCCAGAAAGTCCTTCACTAAGGGCTTCTCCTGACAACACACATGCCAATTAAAGTCACCAATAAACAAAAAGTGAGTGTATCTCTGTGTGATATCAGCCAAAATGTCAGAGAATTCATTTATGAAGTCCTTAGAACGAGGTGGGCGGTAGATGAGCGCGCACAGAACCGTAGGAGAGTGTCCGAGTTCAAAAACGCTGAGCTCAAAGCTGGCGCGGGACACCGGGATGGACAACTGTTTACAGGCCAAGTTTGCTTTAAAAACTGTTAATAATCCCTCCCGCGCCGACCTGATGGCCGCGGGGCATTGAAACACAGACAGTCCGGGGGTAGTAGTTCCACCAGGGCGCTGGACTCACCATCAGAAATCCAAGATTCTGTGACGAACAGAAAATCCAACTCCTCATCTTTAAAAAAGTCATTGAGGATAAATGTCTTGTTGGAAACAGACTTTGCGTTGATTAAACACATCTTGATATTGTCCGACACAGGCACAGCCGTGGATGGAGACGCGCGCGCCAGCGGGCGCAGGTTATGAAGAACAGCTCCTCCTGGTCTGCTGGTGCGGCGCACAGGTAAACAACTCCAGGTGTTTCCATGGACTGAGCGCGCGGGCAGCTGGCCAGCAGCCGGGCCGCGGGAGCACCACGGGTCAGAGAGGAGAAGATCAGATCCAGAGCGAGTCCTGATAGAATAATCCACACTTTGCCTCAGTTTCACCAAAATCCCTGCACGCTTCCCACGACGTCTGCGACGTTTCCTCCATGGAGAAAGGCCAGGGTCACGCAGAAGGAACGCAGGAATCTCAGATAGGACCGGTGGGGGAGAGTGATGGCTGCTGTTCAAAAACTCCGCGGGAATTTCAGCAAAAGTACGGAGCTCCAAAAGTGCCCGACGATCATATTGAAAATATGACTCGGCACACTGCACAAACCATTGTAAAAATAACAAAAATAAAATACAAGCAGAGAGCGAGAGACGGGCAGCCCTACACACCGGCGCCATCTTGGAATCAGAAAGTAACCAAAATAATAATGATACTTAAACTGTCTTTGGGACAAAGGATGTTTCCTTTAACTTCACATTTTCTTGTTCAACTTTTAAATCAGTCCCATTAATGTAGGCTCTATTAATGTAGGACCCATTCATGTAGGACCCATTAATGTAGCCTCTATTAATGTAGGACCCATTAATG